ATCCTCAGGGGTACAAACTATTTTATATTTAATACTAAATTCCACACATTTTAATAAATTCCATTTAAAATATATAATCCAGTTAGAATGAGGCATAAAGCCACTAAAATTAGCTTTAGAGAAAAATGACCTGGRCTARGTTCAAGCAGATATGAGTAAATRGGATGGTAAAGTATGCCTRCGTCCCATTGCATCCAYGGCCTAGTCGCCTAAACTGGACTAGGGGATGTGATGGTTTAGRGGTTGRTGACAATCAGAAGATAATTCAATTAGGAGCTGCCTGACATGAAGGACCCCAGGTAACACCAAAGTCCGGCATCCTACAGGGGTTTCAYCAGATCCAACGTGTGTRGTGCAAATGTATGGTGCATATGAGCGAGKCTAACCCTCTTAGAAGACTGGGCCAYGATTAAGGTCCTGACRCCCTGGACYGCCACACCCTGTGTGCATTGTTCCAGTAGGAGGAACTCAGKGGGGCCRCATACTTACCACCTTACCCAGTACCCTTCGGTAAACAGGTCRKTTGTTGACACCGTTAGGTTTACCYCGAYCTGCCCAGGCAAGGCTGGAGATCAKGTCCCCCTCAGCGATCAGCCATGGATGGGGAATCGATCACGGGCCATGGCCAAATAGATACCCATCAGAATTAGGTAACAACTTCTGTGTTCCATACACCGCACAACTCCAGAAGTGTTAAACATAATTCAGGGCTTCAAAAATAGCATGATTCTGTGCTCACTTCACACTTCAATCTGTGCCCTCACACAGCACTCTATTACTGTAGGTCTACACAAAGCTAACATGTACAATCATCTATGGAGACTAATCAGTGCCAATAACATTCATACACTGATGRGACACACAGAGGCTTTGGGGGTGAAGTGTCTTGCCCAAGAACACAACAACAGAGACAACTGGAAAGGGGGGATCGAACCAGCGACCTACCGGTTCCAGGACGACTCCCCTAACCACTCTTCCACAGCCGCCCCATGTAAACACTCTGCTGGTTTTGGCTCATTGACAGGTCTTCTATAAAGATTAGGTGCCACTTTTTTGGCTGTGGCATCTAAACTTTGGAACAACCTGCCCTCAGACATTAAACAGGCATCTTCAATTCCACTTTTAAATCTCTTTTAAAAACACACCTGGTTTTTAAGAGTTTTTTTTTTTCTGATGCTTTTACTCAACTTGTTTTTTGTCTGCTGTGGATATCTCTGCGTTTCTTTTTTTATTGTTTTAATCTTGATTTTAGGCTATGATAGTTGGTGTAAATTGTGAAGCGCTTTGGTCAACTGCTGTTTTAAATGTGCTATGCAAAATAAAAGTGACATTCTACTATATTATACTAACCTCTATATGGGTGTGGTGGAGGTTCAGGGATCAAAACAAACCTCTGCCTAACTAATATTTATGTTCATGAGCTACCACAATGAACTGACATTAAATCATCCAGTTTTACAAACAAKCTTTGACTCTGCTAAAATCAAACACATTCTCACCAATGTCATCGGTCTTCTTGGAAATCAGACGCTGCTCTAAGCGGACCATCTTGATGGCGTCCAGGCGGATCTCAAAGATGTTATTGATGAGAGCAAGAAGAGGTGCAAGAGGAAAGGCTGCCACAAATATGGTGGTGAAACTGAACTGGATCACTAGAAAGCAAAGAGAGCAGTGGGCCAGATGGAAAWACAGCAATACAAGCTGGTGTTGCTGAATGCCTCCATGTTGCAAACAGAGGACCTACCCATCTCCAGGAATTCATTGAATAAACTGAAGGAATCGGTTTTGGACAAGTGATAGTTTTTCAGCCAGTCCCGAAGTGTGCAGTCATTACATGGTTCAACACATTCATCATCATCAAGATATTTTTTACTGCAGGGGTGTTTACGTTTCTTCCATAGTTTCTTTCCAGCCTTTAAGCTCAAAATGAACTTCAGCCAGCTGTAAAAGATCCAATTAGAGAAACAGACACAGTTTTTATAAAGTGATACTACTACTACTACTACATCTATAACTGTTTCCTTACACATGAAGTTAAAATGTAACAAAACTCACGGAACTGTGAATTCAAAAATGTTGTTTAGAGTCTGTTTGAGCACCATGATCACTGCCATCTGGATGAAGAGATCTGTCAAACAGCCACTGGGATGGCACTGTTAAACRACAAGTCTGAGTTTAAATGGCATTCTGGGGAAAAACAAAACAAAGTGAATCCTCTTACCTCTTCCAGTCTATACCCTGCAATACGCACATAGTGTCCTGGATGACCATTTACCCTGAAACAAAACATCACAAAAACACAATAGTTACCTAATTGTTATAAGGTTGTCTCCTGCAGAGGGCGGGCAGCTATGTGAGCACTCAGGGATCAGTTGGGGGTTGGGTGTCTTGCTCAAGGACACCACGACATGTGGGCATGATGGGGAGTCAAACTGTAACTTTCTGGTCCCAAGTCGGCTGCTCTACCACAACACCACATATGATGAATTCACAACATTTAAAACTGAAGTAATCTTTCACTTGTTCCTAAAGTTCAAGGTCTACAGTCTTTAACTGCTTTTCTGTTCTGGATGGTGGGGACCTGGGGCCTCATGTGTAAATGTTGCATAAGCACAAGCAGATTGTGTGTGACATGTTCCACACACACAGCAGACTATTAAAATATTGCTTCAAAGTATGCATAAATATACAYAAACATTTCAACTGCTGAGAGAACGCGCTTATCTTCACACAAACTGTTAAAGTCACCAGGATGAAATGGATAGAATGATAGAATTACCACTACCCCTGTTGAAAAACTTCACTTACAGAATCTGTTGTGTTTATTTCTAAAGTCAAAAAAGACCAGATGAACAACATTATACATCTTAATGGCAGTGTTTTAGTGCATTTAAAGAACAGAAACTGCATACCTGCCCAGAAAAAAGGCCACGTAGAAAAGTGAAGAGAAGAGGGTGAAGAACTGGAAGGTGAACATCTTGACTGTGAAACTTCTCTCTCTGTCTGCTGRTAAATAATGCTTCTCTGAAGAACACAAAGAAGGCAAAACACACAAGTAAATATACTAGAAAGATCACTAAATGCTGAGTGCTTAAACAGTGTAAACTTTTAAACATTAAAATGTTTCATACACAACTATTCTCACCTAAATTACAGAGCTTGAGTGCCACCCATTTGTTGATCTGAAAAAAAAWTTTAAAAACGATGAGCAATATCACAGTCATGAAATTACCAAGAACTTTGTATGTTAAAAAAATCTAAATATATTTCTCCAGAAGCCTAAATGCAAAACTTTGCTCCACTCCTGTGCGTTTAAAAAAAAACTTTTCCAGACTATTGAGAAAAAACTATTATTTTATTATTTTTAGCTCAGTTTTAGACAAAGACTAGCAAAGATCACAACTTGATGTCAATTTTCAGCGTTTTCTCTCTCTTTTTTAAATAGATGTTCATAACAGAGAAGTCATCATTTAAAAACCATCCATGTTTTGGCTCATAGAAAAGTCATCATCTTGTGTGAGGGGAACCTATTTTTTATTTTATTTTTTCATTTTTTTAAATTTTATTGAACACCACATTACAAATAAAATTACCAAATAAAATTAAAGCAATACAACAAATAAATGTTCAAATGAGTGGGTACAAGTACAAACTTTTCAAAACTCACCTCCTCCAGCAACTTCAAAAAATAAATAAATAAAAAGATTTCATCCTATCCATAGGTATCATATCAGTATACCCTCATTCCACTTTCAGATTCCTGCTTAATGCAACACNCAATGCTGTGTAACAACAACAACAACACAATACATCAAGACAATCCCTCATATTTTGTGCAAACCATTTCCTTAAACAAAAGTTTAAATTATTTAATGTTTGGACATTGTTTAAATTATATGTAATGGAAATAATACTTTTCGGTTTAAGCCAGAAATTCATGACATACTTTAATGACCTAGGTTTTCATGACATGCTGTTCATCAGTGATTATAGCCAGAACAAGATTTGCTAACAACAATCATTCTTAGATGTCACTTGTGTTTATCTTTGTGTTTTCCCTTGACCCAGCATTTCCTTAGGATGAAATCTTGCTTTATTAAGATGACATACTAGTTTTTGTTAAACAGTTTATATGAGGCCTCAACAGCCTCAGAGAAGAAACAGGAGCAGAGAGAAGGGGTACAGTTCAATGGATCTACAGTATGTTGTTCTCTGTGTTCCTGTTGTTGCAATAAAACTCATCTGATTATTCCACAGAATACCTTCATTCTTGGACCACGTATTTCTGTCTTTGTTAAATAAYTATTTCCATAACATTCCACATTCAAACTGTTCCACAGTTTCACCACTAACTGAAATGCAAAAAACTTCTTGTGGATCTGATCTTACAAATTTTGAATTTGTATTTCCCTCTGAGATTGTAAAATCCTTATTTTAAAACCATTTTTTGAATATTTTCTGGTAACTGTTCATTTTGTGCTTTGAGTAAGACACATGCTGTTTGTAATTTCACCAGATCAGTAAGTATTAATAATTTTGAATGTATGAATAATGGATTTGTGTGATCCAGATAGCTAACTTTATTGATGATTCTTATTGCTTCTATAATTCTGCTCAAACCAAAGCTTACACTGAGCATTAATTAAAGATTAACACTCAAACTTAGAAGTGCATAAAAATGTATAAGTTATAAGAATTTTGGTCTGTATTGTAATTTAGATTTTCATCTTAAAGTGGAAGTGTGTGCGAGTGTGTTTGTATTTTGGCCCGATCTAAACTACGTGACACAACTACAACAGTTTGGAAAAACTCTTGAAGCACAAAGAGGATGTGTAAGTTAATTCAGTTTGTTTTATGACWGATAGACTCCATGTTTTCACTGTGGGTGAGGAGAAGGCAGCTTCTACCACAGCTATGATCAACAATGCTATGGCTAACTCCTGCATCTATGCAGGGCGTGTCTCTACAGAGAGGCTTTTATTCTGAACGCTGTGCTGTGAGACGTCACATAGTACCAGCWCGTCATACGGTACTTTCTGAACAAATAATGAAGTTCAAATGAAGTAGCCACAGTTAAACCCATAGAGAGCAGCACAAAGGCATTTTTAGACTCAATATTGTACATTTAAACAATTTTAGTCCAAAATGTTGAATTTTAGTCGTAAATAGAAAGGTATTACCCTTAAGGCACCGTTTAGACAGTTTATCTGCAACAAAAAAAGTTGATTTTGAGGTAAGTTTCTCTTTAACTGACTTAGCCTGGCCCTTGCCTTCCTACGCAGTTCCGCTCAATTCTAGTTTCCTTCCACTGCTCCATCTGGGATTTCTCCCATAGACAAGGATTTCTTTGGTAGAATTTTACCTGGGTCAATCAGCAAACAGAAGGAGTTTTGAATGATAACATTGATTTTCTGCACAGTGTCTCCTACTTTAGCAATGGCAGTGGAGGAAGTAAATGAAGCCAATTCCTGTTGATATGGCTTCCAAATTAATTTTAATATTTGTCTGACAAAGCAGCAGCTCTCAYGTGGCTCCGCACTTCTCTCCTCTCAGTAGGGTTGTTCACAGTGCATGCGATTTCTGGTTAGCTTCTTAGCTTAGCCTCCTTCATAGGTTAGCTGGCGCATACATGCGTTGCGGCCAACCGATCCAATCATTTTAAACTTCAACAGAGGCCACGCCTCCAGCAAGAATCGCTTCTCTATAGCCGAGWGTCCAGACCCTCGTACGAAGCAAAGTGAAGGACAAGGAGATGGTTTTTACCAGGCTAGAAGTGACTCAAACTTTTGTGAAAAAAATGTCACTGAAATACATTTCTCCCATCTTTGTATATCCAGTATAAGGATCAGAGTACAAGTATACACACCCGGGTCATGACCTGAATGGTGATGTAGTGCAGCACTGCTCCAAGCAGCACGACCACAATGTTGGCATAGTCTTCCAAAAACTTCCACTCACTTTCAGACAAAAGGGGGGCAGCCACCACTCGAAACACCACAATAGCATGAGCAATACCGATGATCACCATCAACTGCAACACAACAAAATCACAAAAACCTCTTGTTTTTAGCATAATAAAGAATAACTTATTTCTCACTTATTTGACAATGTTTTTGCTTTACAGAAAAGATAAGATAATAAAGAAATAATGTGAATTCATAACCAAGTAATGTTTGTCACAAAGTCTGACTTGAATGAACCATTGGTGCCTTCAAGGTATTCAGAGAAAGCGCCGAGAAAACCAAAGATTATAATATATGAATAAAGAAGTTAATGTTTCTGTTTAAATAATTTTGATAAACAAGAGAAAATAGTCCATGGATTATTTGATTACAAAATATTTTAACAAAAGCTTGTTTATGTGTTTTCTTTCAGATCACGGTGAGATCAGAACTGTACATGTGAGTATTCCAGGAGACTCACTGATTTAAACACTAGTTTGTGTTTAGTTATAGCAAAAACAGCAACAGGTGGATTTGATGTTGAATTATTCATTAACATTTAACTATTCAAAACCAAACAATAAAAAATATAGACTTCGTTATCAACAGCTGTGCAAGATAGTAACACTTGGAGCTCCTTTATTCATTGATTAGCAAACAGCTAAAGACCTTGTCATAATGTTTTAGTCTACTCATGAAAGATTTTGTCATTGAAAATGTCAGACAAAAAAGCTATTGGAAGTCTCCTTTGGATGTATGCATACTGTAATGCTAACATAATGAGCGAATCTATAACCTATATGAGTAATTTATTCATAACAAAATATTCACAAGTCGACATAAGTTGGCTAAAACTTTACAGTGTGACAGGACTACATTATTTGTGTCAACACACCTCATGTAGAAGATCATGGTAATTTCTTACCAAATCTTCCTCTCTTTACAGCCAACCTGCCAAGGCTCTCCACCTTGGCAGTGTAGGTTGGTAAGAAATGGTGAGGTAGCTTTATCAATGCTCACTTACTGCAAGATTATTGGAGGATTGCTTGATGCAATGTCCTTGAATGAAAAATATGTGTTTGAATTCAAGTCAAGTTGGGCTTATCAATGTTGTAGCTTAGAGTTTAAAAAGACGGTCTCCGCAACTACGTCCTGTGCATTTTGCTGTGATCACCACAGGGGCTGGGGGTGCGGGGTGTGGAGGGAAGGCATGGTCAAGTTCTGATAAACACAATTTGCCACTAAACCTACAGATGTTTGTTTAGTAGGCCCTTATCCATGGTTTTGTGGTGGTGGTAGTGATTGTCTTACCATTACAGTCATCAGGATCAAGACCAGAGTGCTACGCCAATAACTGTGTTTATATGTTTTGGCTTTACAAACTGGATTATTTACTAGTTCCATGATCAGTTCCTCCTGTGAACATAAAAACCACAAGCAGTGAAAAAGCAAGAAAATTAATTCTTACAGTACTATGAACACAGTGAAGCAATTCTTTTTTTTAAACTTTGACACAGATAAATCATTCAACTTCAGTAAAAAAAATTCAACTATTTCTTTTGTATTTACCAGTCATTATGATCTTAGAAGAGTTAATTTCAATATTCTGACCCATTTCAGCTCTAATAAAAAATTTAGCCAAATTGTCGGAAAAAAAGCAAAGATGAAGATGATGAATTCATTTTGCATCATTTAACATTTACACAACAGAGATCCAAGTTTTTGTCCCCACTCCTGATTCAAAACTGTTAGCTGTTTTGYTGTGCCACACAACCAGATGACATAAAACTAATTATGTTTCAGGGGTGTGGTGGKGTAGAGGTTAGAGAAGATAGGTCTGTGGTCAGAATGTTGCTGGTTCAACTCCCCGAACCAACTAGCCCAAACTTAACCCCTCAGCTGCTACCCGGGTGCTGTAATTGGCAGCCCACTGCTCCACATGTGTGTTCACATGTGCGATGGGTAAAATGCAGAGAATTAATTTCCCCTCTGCGGGACAATAAAGGCTAATAAAATAAAATAAAATAAAATAAAATGCCTCAAGAAACTCTGAACTACAGAACCTCAAAATAAGATTAGCAGGTTTGACAGAGAACCATACCTCCTCATCATTCCAGTCATAGACCCTCCATTTGCACACATGTGTGGCTCTTTCTCTCTTCCAAAACTCCAGGAACAGTGTGGCTGTAAAATACATATAGATAAYTAATCCACAAAATCAGCTTTCAATTCATCACATGTGATTAAATATAAAAAAATCTCACTCCAGATTGCGATGAACATGGCAAAAGCCACGGTGCCCTCGTTGTCAAACAAATGACTGACCTGTACGAAGGTAAAAAAAAATAAAAAATAAATCAACACACACACACACACACACACACACACACACACACACACACACACACACACGTCCACTTATAAATATGGGGACATTCCATTGACTTCCATTAATTTCTACAGCCTGACCCTAACCTAAACTCAATTCACATTAGTTCCAAYGCTAATCCCTGACTCACACCTTGGTCCTAAACCTAACCCCCAACCCACCAATGGATTTTAGACCAAATGAGGACTCCGCTTAGGTCCCCATGTGTACCAGTGGTCCACACATGTAGGTGTTTTGGCTTAAAATGGTCCTCATGTCACAAAATACCAGTTCCCCACACACACACATCCTTGTGTTTGCATCAAAATGAGGACATTGTAAGACCTCATTTTGATAGTAACTAGTAACAATGGCACAAATGGTCTTCACTCTGTAGTAAAAGCAAGTACACACATACTGTCTCTCTATCCTCATAGGGACTTTCCATTGACATCCATTTATTTATTGGTCACTTCTATAGTCTAACCCTTTACCCTAAAATTAACAACGTGTTTGTGTGGGGGAGTTGCAAACACTGATGACACACCCACAACATGGCAGGGCATATGCTTATGGATGGATGGATGGATGGATGGATGGATGGATGGATGGATGAATGAATGAATGAATGAATGAATGAATGAATGAATGAATGAATGAATGAATGAAATTCACCTTTGCATAGGTACAGGTGTCAGAAAGTTGCCATGCCTGGCACTTCTTATCACAGCGAGGACACATGGTGATGTTGGAGTTACACACCTCATGACTGTCAATGCACACAAAGATGAAAATACCATTAATATTTAGTGTTTTCTCTAAATTTCTGATTGTATTTGAGGCAGGGGGAAGGAAGGGTTAGGTGTTTGGAAGATTTGGCACAACGGAGAGGGAAATCCATACAAAAGATTCATTCAATTCTTTGTTTTGTTTTTATAAATCAAACATTTGGAATCCACCCTGGTCCCTTATCCTGTTTGTGGTGTTTATGGATGGGGTTAGGTGCAGCCGCAGACCTTCAGTGTAAAGTGAGGYCATGTATTTGAACCCTTCCCCATCCCCCTCCAGAACTCAGAATATAGTAAACCCAAAGTTGATATTTATAGCTATCGATGTAAACATTTTTATTTGTCTCCACAGTCAACATTTCTATGAAAAAAAATCATACATGTATTTGGCAGTTATTTATCTGCGAGTTAAACATATTCAGAGTCAATACAGTACTTAAATATGTACAGTTGCCTTTATAAAAATATTTCTATAAATGCCTGAATACAGTATATGTACTTGACTCACATGAGAGGACTGGTGTTGAAAAAGGCAAGTGCATAGAGAAAGATTACAACACCCAAAATTGCAGCTGGAACCAACAGTGCAGTGTACAAGCCTAGCCACACGTAGTACAGTGCCACCTTCTCTCCAAAGTAGTCTCTGCAAAAAGAAAACAAACATCCCCCACCCCAAACAAAACAAAACAAAACAAAAAACACATCTGATATCAAAATCTGAAATTACAGAGGACACATTTGAACAAAAAATATTTTTTTAATGATGTAGCATTGTAAGTTTATTTTTATTATTTAGCACAACAAGAACTGTGAAGTGTAGCTACCTACTACATGCCATAAAAACAAACTAAAATATAACATTAAGTTTGGCTGGCCCCCCAACAATGTGCAACTCAAGAATGGGCAGATTTTTACAAAAGCCCTTTCTTAATAGGGCGTTTCATATTTTCTGTGTGCAWGGCATTCTGACAGTGGTGGGCAGCACTAAKTCAAAAAAGTTRATTGCACAAATTCTAAAGAGCTTGCAATATTATTTAGGTCAACAAGTTCTAAAAGYGCATATACCCAATAAAATTTAGTGGAAGCTAAATCTAAAGCGCTAATTAGTCTCAAAGTTCACTTGAGTAYATTCTAGTAAAATCCTGAGCCATGCTAGCACAATACTGCCAACTAGAGGCACAGTTGTTTATTTTCACAGCATTGCACATGATGCTGCAGTTTGGGGAGGTGATTTGTTGAAACAGGCATTTGCCTCATGGYGTTAAACAGTTGTTATGGATTAGTTCTGCTGCTTCTTGGTCATTTTCTTATGTTTATGGTAGAGCTTTGGTAAAAAAAGACATAAAAAACAGGCATGCAGGATATTTTAATAATTTTAAACTGTTATTGTAGAATTGAAGCGATACATTCTGGGTAGAGGACGGAGAATAGGAAACAGTCTTCACTTCAAAAAATCAAAAGAGCATGAATTTATAGTCGACATCGCAAGCATGCTGTATTCACTTCTACCCAGAATCATCGGAGAGGAGGTACAAATTGCACAGCTGAGCATGGTTCTACGCGGTTGGAACCTGGAGACACACTTCGGCCGAACCGCAGATCAGAATCGCAACAGGCACTCAGATGGAGAAGGGCTGGGACTGAGAGTGTCACCCAGTGCTTCCTRYCACGCAAAGAATTGTCGGACCACTCTCTTAAATAAAAACTGTCACTCAGAAAGACAGTCAACTCTGTGAATGTAGAGCCATCTGWGGGGGCGCTAGTTCCATACAATGGGTTTTCATTGTATCGAATAGAGACAGCTTTCTCTCTCTCCACTGTTGARGATAATTATGATGAAAATATAATTAAACAAGTGATACTATAATACTGTGAGGATAGTCAGTTTCCTTCTCCGCWGTAGAAAACAAAAATTTAAATTGAAAAACTTAGTTTAGCACTACTCAGTTTTATAATTAGAAAGTGCAAATCTGAACATTGTCTGAAAAAAAAATTAGTAAAATCCCTAAATCCCAATCCAGAAGTTTAGGTCCGCGATTAGCGCAAGTGTGGTTTGGGAGACTGGTGCCCACCACTGCATTGTGGGTAGGGGTCAGAAGTTATATAATATTAAAAAAAACCTGCATTGATATTAGATTTGACAAACGTGACCACATTTTATCCATTTTTTGGTTCAATTACTGAGGCTTTTTCAAATTACAGAAAAACAGAAAGAAAGCACTGGATGAAGTGATCAAGCAAGGGGTGGATAATAGAATGTGCAGTTATAAGAATACATGTTTGTTTTGGACAATTCAATTCAATTCAATTCAAAAATACTTTATTGATCCCAGAGGGAAATTAGGTAAACGGACGCATTTTATTTTAGTGTGAAATTTTAATAATCCAGTATTTAAAGAATTTCCAAAATAATTGAGTGAGCAAAACAGATTTTGGAAATATTTCTATTKAACAATCATCCCAAACATGAAAAAGTAAAACAAACTGACCTGATCTTTGTAAATTTTTGTGGCTGAAAAAGAGCTGACCACCGAGCCCATATAGTTTGTAGCTCTTTCTGGTCTGTTTTCTGAGAGTCATTGGAAAAACAAACATACAGTAATCAGGGTATTATTACCTACAAACAATGTTAACATACTCAAAAGCATTTTACCTTTAAGAAAAAAAAATACATTTTTCACAATATGCCACTACCTCTTCCTAACAATAYATTGTATTAAAACTAACAACAAACAAGATCAACATGAAGGTTGTTGTATCACAAAATTCATATATAATAAATAGAATGATTGTGTATTGTGTGTTTTTTAAGGCAACAGGAAGGATTAAAAGGCCTCTATTCACATATTTTAATGGTCAAATGAGCACCAAGCGCTCCACCAGAGTGGAAAATCGTCCAAAATCAGGTCAACGAATATAACAGTGACCTGGGGCCTTATGTACATAGACTTGCATGGATTTCCTATTGAACCATGGTGTACGCTCAAATCAAGAAAACAGCTTTAACTCCTCATTGAGAAAGACCACATCTAGACTGAGATTTTCACACTATTGAGCTTGAAAAGCACAGAAACAGCTGGTGAAATTTGCACCATGCATATAATTAGTTATACAAGACAACAAGCTGTTTTATAGTCTCTATGGTACCATACTAGATATGTATGTGAACCACCAACACCAGATAGGGAGCATTTATGCGTCTCTGCTCAGCAGTCATATCTGCAAGAGGAAAGTTGACAGCAGTCCAAAGAGGTGATTYGACCATGCAGACTGCTCGTCTAAATGAGAGTTTGCAGACCCRAAGGGAACAGCATCTGCTGCAATACCACCTTCAGCAAGGGTTTCTTTTGCAAAGAGTGTCAAAAGAGTGGATGTGCCCTCCTGTTTTGGCTGGAGGCTCCAAGCTGGGAGTAATGCCACCAGAACTTCCTCCAGCTTCCTCCTCTGATTGCGGCAGATCTGAATTTACTGAATATTGTCTATAGCTTGTCCAGTGCTATGATAAATGAGTGAGTGGTGAGACCCTCTGCATAATAAAGCATTTCAGCTGGGCCACCAAGAAACAACACTACATGTGGTCTGGTCTGCATTAAATGGGACACAGCCTTCAKGTGGAAAAGTGTCGACCTTGTCAACCCTCCACCACTTTTTACATCAGGTGTGTTGTCACTTTCAGGTTTAGAGTTTTTGACAAATTACTTGCAGGYGAATTTTATTTGGCAATAGCTGTAGCTATAAAAATGTAATATGGGCTTTTTTAAAACAATCCCACCAGTACACCAGTATGAATCAGGAGTAGTTTGAAGTCATAATTGCTTTTATTCAAATTTTTGAATCATTTAAAGTTCCAGGAAAGGCAAAACAGAAAAAAATGTACTGTGCAGGACAAATACATTTTCAAACCACTGTAATTATGGGTTTGCTCACCTCATGAAGACAGAACATGGTTTCAAACACACCATGCATAATCAAGTCCTTCACATTCTCTGAAAAGAGAAAACATGTACACATAAAAGATGAATATAATCATAATTTATAYCATATTAAATATTAAAATACATTTTTGATATTCAATAAAGATGTTTGATTAGGCTATGACATATTTACAAATTATATACTATTTATTACAAATAATGATGTTAAATATGATAATTAAATGTTCTTAACCTACCTTCACGGAGAATGAAATTAACTATTCGAATCCTGTGAGAACAGGAAAAGTTAGTTATAATGGCATGAGGAAAATACTGTTAAAAACATGTTTAAATCCCCATTTGAAAGAGATCTACATTTGAAGAATTAAAAACTCATGTCAGAAACCCTTTTTATGGTAATAGAGACTATGCCATCATTTCCCTTGTCAACTTCTTTCAGCTGTTCCCTCTTCAGGGACCGCCACAGTGAGTCATCCTCCTCCGTGTCAATCTGCCCATGATGTCCTCTGTCCTCACTCTAACCTACTCCTCTACTACTTTTGCCTATCTCTGTCTTTATCCTGAAAGTTGCATCGTTAAACATCCTTCTACCAATATGTCCACTGTCACATACGTAAATCTCAAAATGCTACATCATRTAAGTCATAAAAGCATCAGAAATAAATAATTATAGTGAATTATACACCTACACTTCTTATAACAAACTTTATTAAAAGGAAATTCATGGGTTCTTCTGTTTAAAGAAACAAACCACTTCTCTGTGTAAATATGAGACCACACAAATAAGRCAGACTTCAGTGAGTGAATTCAAGTTGATCTAGCAATAAACTAGRTCATTTATTTATAGAATCGAAATAAATCACTAACATACAGCTTATTGTGGATATTCAAATTTTGTTAAGAGTTTTAACATCAACAACAATCAGTACGCAGGCCGGCACACCAGACTCGGCAGGCCGCCGGGTGTGGTCCTGGGCTGYGGGTGGGCTTGGGGCTTGGAGGGTTGCCGGGGGCGGGGTTGGAGCTCCGTCCTCCCTGGTGCTGCTTGGACTCSTGAAGTGTGGCTYCTGGTTGCTATGGGTGGCCCGCTGGCCGGAGTGGCTACTGGGCTCCGGTTGGTGGTTGGCTGGGGGTGTGCGCTTGGCCATTGRTGGTGTGTTCGYGGGCATGGTTTCTCTGCGGCAGGGGGCTTGCTGGGTGGCCTGGTGTGGCCCGGGYCGGGCCTTGGCTGTCTGCTCCTCTCCACCCCAGAATGATTGGGTCTACCCCCTGGGTTTGGGTGTGTGCTGCCTCCTGTAGGGGGTGGGTGCATGTCCTGGACCTGGGTGGTATCGGTGGTGGGTGTTTATCGGGGGTATGAGTGGAATGTGGCGTCCTTGTATGTCTTTGAATGAGTGGGGGTGAGGATGAGGGTGGGATGGTGCGATTGTGTATGTTTGGATATTTGTCAGGCTGCGATCTGGGCTGTGTTTAGGAAGTTTTCACCCAGGTCAGCAAGAAACTCCGGTCAGGTTCCTTACTTCCAGTAAAACTTCCAGTGTTATGATTTTTCAGCATCTCCGGAAATCTGCCTCAGGTCCGATGAGAGTCAAATCCAATCCTGTTCTCTTTTCAAAATAAAAGACTTCTCAATAAATAAAAGACTTCTCAATAAATAAAAGACTTCTCAATAAAAGTTTTACAAAATGAATGGAGCTTCAAAGATGGAAGTTTTGGTCACGATTAATGGTAGTGTGAACCTGTGGCAAAAGATTTGCTCATTAGTACTTCAAATCTCATTGCCGAATGCCGATTTTCCTGGGAGGGGGAAAAACAGCTTCTCTTCGTTGGACGAAGATTTGTCTGTGGAGTGGCTTGTCCTGGATTAGTTTCTACAGAGAAAGACACTAAGGGATGTGGCCTCGACTTTTGGGTTAGTCAACAGGTGGATCAGAAATKTAGTCTAAGAAATTATCGGTCTGGTAAACAAAAATGGTGAATGTCTGCACATTAACAAAGAAAACCAARGTCAGGCCRTGCTGTTCTCARTTCTTTGGCAGGACAAATACTAAATGACAAGGAACTAGGTTTTAATGAAATAGATGTGAATTATTTAAACTAAAATAAAACAAAGTATTTGTCTAAGATTCRAACACAACCAYATGTATTTCATAAAACAGTGAACTAAACCATAGTGATCAATTTAGTTAAAGAAAAACAGAACAGAAAAACACATAATCACATGACTGTCAAATAGCAGCTGATTAAAACAAGGATTTGCATAAACAAATAAACATTGGAACAATATTCTTTTGTGTGTTTTTCTTTTCTAAATTATAATGCAAGAAGATAGGTTGTCACTYTTTTCATTATGTAAATTTGATTTAATTTCTTCATTTATCAAATTACAGTAACTCTAAAAAAAATCAGGAAGGTATCAAATAATTGTTTCCACCACTGTAACAATAAATAATCATTAGCCAACAATCACAATAGCTGATTAGTAAACTATCTATTAAATGTTTGACATCTGATTTTACAGAGAGTGTAGGAAGTATGACAGTGAAACGGAACAAACCAGTGAGCTAAATTTTCCTTTTACAGGTTGTCAAAATATGGCCGGTGGGTCAAATCTGGCCTCTAGGCTACAAGGCCTGGCTAACCTATGAGATGAAGCAGGGTGTGACCCTTGGATTAAAGACAGTTAAAGGCTGACAAATCTCTCTCCGTTCTAGCCTGAACGGACTTCGCTCATGTTGTTTAGGTAAGACTCAGCAAGAAAAAGTAAGTTCTGACCCGTGGGATGGAGTGCATTTTTCTACAGCTTCCAGCCAGCAGTATTTTCAAACAGATTCACCTGAAGGCAACTGCCTTCCTGGTTTTGTCACATTAGTTATTCTTGATAACAGATACTTAGACAAGCACATTGCCATTGAGATTTTAAACAGTTACAAAAACTATCCAGCTTTGGAGTTTCAATTGGACTGATTATTTCCCATAGACTGGAGGTTTTATTGTAAGCAATGCAGCATCAAAGTGCATCAACACTATTAACAGTGTTTCCTCTCATTAGATGACACACAAAGGGCATCCGATTCCTGGAACTTGTGGAACCAGTGTTTCCCAGCCCCCTCCCTTCAACTTTATTTTCAGCATAACAAGTAAATCATGTTTTACTCTTGGAATGAATCTAAATTCAGACATACAATGCAATGTCAAATGACCTTTTTTTTTAGTTATAATCAGAAAGAACCAGATTATATATTGCTATTTGGAACATTCCTGTCAAATGTCTAGAGCACTAATTTGACAAGTTCAAGGAAGGGAGGAGAACGTGTGTATAATGGCTGCTGAAAGGAAGGTATGTTGCTCCATCTCCTTGTTGAAAAACATTTTATTATTAAAACATAGACGTCAGAAAGCATTTCTACTGTCACTTTTAAGGCTCCTGTAGATGCTTTTTCAAGCTCAACTAATACTTTTTTTTTTACGAAGTATAAAAGAAACTAAGCACGATTTCCTAGAACTACCTATACAGGTTTAGTCAAGGTGTGTGAGTGGATGTGTGTGCATTCGTTTGTCTGCATTACCTACCGGTCAGCCTGGGAGAAATTCACGTCTTCAGAAAAGTTGCAGGAGTCAGAGATTTTGAGCAGATGCTGATAGTCTTCAAACATCTCACTGGGAGCACGAAGCCCAAAAAATATTTTGTCCTCATGAGGTAATTCCTAGTAAAAGCACAAAATACACATCAGTCGTTTCTTTCTGATTCATAGCATTCACATTTTAGAACTTCCCAAAACATTGTAGAAAACAAAACAAAAAACAGGTTCAAAATGTCCTTTAAATTGATAAAGTCTCCAGAATGGGAAGCAAAACGTCCTCAGCTTCAGAAAAGGAGTCCAGTTGTTTTCATTTTTAAACCTTTTTTAGACAGATCATGACCTGGATGACTGAGAATGTTCACCAGCAGATTGTAGAAACTCACTGTGATTGTGAAGTGTTTCTGTTCTAGTACACGAAGGAAGGCCTTTCGTTTCTGGGAATTCTCCTCAGGGTCATTTTTCTCATTGTTGGCCACCAGTATATAGTCAAATGTTCTTTGTTCAGCCTGTTAAAAGAAATTACCACAATAACCTATAAATAATCAAGAAAAAATATAATATGTAAAAAAAGAATGGTCACAAAACTTAAGATGTGTCAAAACTGCCAAGATAAAACTGACCCTACTTCCTAAACTGCCTATAAATAATATTTTATTATTTTTGAATTTATCCAGTGGGAAAAAAAATGGTGATTCCATGAAAAGAAAGCAGCATTTTGAAAATTTTTATACATTTTTCCTCAGTTTCGTATGGAAGCCCATTTCCGCCACCCTGATAAAAAAATAAAACTTGTATCTCATAATTATGAGATAGTAATGAGATACTATCTCATAATTATGAGATAGCTAAGTCATAATCATGAGATAGTATCTCATAGATAGTATCTCATAATTATGACTTAGCTATCTCATAATTATGAGAAAGCTATCTCATAATTATGACTTAGTATCTCATAATTATGAGATACAAATTTTGTTTATTTTTTTATCAGGGTGGCGGAAATGGGCTTCCATAGTTTCACAAAMTGACTGCAGATATAAACCCTGAGTATAAGGTCAATAAAAAAGAGTGTGCTCTTCCTTTTGTTTACAGTAGCTAACAATAAACAGAACAAAGGTTTTTGAAATCGTCATCCACATGTTAGTTTAGATCAGTTCATGGGGTTTAGTACCATGTGTGTATAGTATACACATCATGTAATGTGTAAATCTGAATATAATGGTAATTGTGTCATAATAAAAAAAAAACTATTTTGAATTTGATTGTGGAAATCTCTCTTGACAAGACAGAGCCATGATTTCTACTGTAAAGTGTCACTTTTTGTTAAAAAACAAGAATCTGTAAACATCTTGGAACTCAGGAGAGCAACTGTTGGAGTTTCTGGAGGAGAACGATGTCTCATTTTTGTCTCACGAAGGATTAGGTGTTCAACAGTCCTGAGTCTTCTTGGTCAGATTTGTTTGTCTCATGATTGTTTAAGGCATTTGTGGATGACAGCGAACTGTGTATACAGAAAAATTGTACAAGTGTTCCTGAACCCATGCACTGGTGYTTAGAACAGAATTGGACCTGCTTTTAATGCAGTGCTGCCTGAGGGCCTGAAGATGACAAAACCCCAATACTGACTTATGGTTCTGTCCTCTGAGCTCAGAGATCCCACCTGATTCTTGACATCTTTTGATGAACTCTAGATCAGGGCTATTCAACTGGCGGCCCGCGGGCCACATTCGGCCCGCAAGTGACCAAATTTCGGTCCGCCAATTGATTCCTTCATATCTTAAGACCAAACACCTGGTTTTCTACTTTAATTACTATGGGTTCTTTTAATTAAACATAGACATGTTTGGTATCTACAGAAACATCAGAATCTTGGCTCCAAGCTGGTAAAAAGCATTTCAATGAACATCTAAGACAGTTAAAACTACTAGCAGTTGAAGATAAAATTATGAAAGTGAAAATAAATTGGTTTAAAAAGTTGTCAAGTCAGAGATGTCAAAATGATATTTGTGTTAAATATGGGCCAGAATGTGTTATTTTTGTTTTTGATATTGTTTTATTATCACTACATTTATTACATAGGGTTCTGTATGTTGTAACTATGATAAAATGCAGTAAAATAAACTATTTTAAAAGGTAACAGATCTTTGTAATACTTGGTTTATTTACAGAATGACTTTAAATGCTAGATGTTTGGCACCTGTGCTGTTGGTCTGTATTAACTGTGGCCCCTGCGGAGCAATTTAGTTGAATAGCCCTGCTCTAGATGATGAAATATTTTAAGTTTTTAAAACTTTTTGCTGGGAATGATTTTCTGAAATTGTTCCATCCACTGTTTTGAAACCTATGCTAGTACTTTGGTAAACGATAAAGGAACTGAACTTGTTTAGCCCTATATCAAGTCCCTACAGACTCGAAAGTTCTTCACACTACAGTCATTCACTCTTGTGGTAGTAAGCTACACTGTAGCTCCAGCTGCACTGGGGCACACTGACAGAGACGAGGCTGGCATGCACTAGCTCCATCAGACCCTCAGACCACCAGGAGCAGGCAAACCAGTTGAAGTATCTTGCCCACGGGGATGACTGCAAACTTCTAGTAAAGCTCCATGAAAAAAAATGTGCAAAAAGACTGAGTCTGCAAACTGTGAAACACAGCTTTGCAGTGCTTCACTGTACAGACATCAGTAGCTCTGCTGACAGCAGACTGATTATGAGTTTATTTGCATTTAGAGGAGGTAACTGAGATCTGGTCCCAAGCGGTCATTAAAAAACAAATGTACAGCTCTGTCTGCCTATCTGAGTCACCAGTCTGCTCCAAGAAAGGCAGCAAGTGAAAATATTAAAGTCAAAYATTATTCTTTGCTCTTTGACACCTGCATGCCTCATAACCACATGCTATATCTTGTAAACTGTAATAGACCCACTCATCCAACGAGCAAGCTGGGTTGTGTTCAACCAAATAGGCTCAGGATACTGCACCTGCTCRTTTGTGTTTTATGACCATTCTGCAGTGAAAAAGTTAGGCTGTCATCATCATATCTGGAGTTTAAGCAGTCTGAAAAGTTGCTACAGATAAAAAAAGAAAAAGAAGCAGACACTGGACAAAACTCCAGGAAGTTTTATTTTCATATACAGTCATGATATGTATGCATCATACAAATGAAGCATGAAACATTACAGTTTAATTCTGAACACACAAGATAAAATCTCATGAATTACTGAGTTTGCATGTTATAGATGAGTCAACCTACAATTATCTTTTTAGTTTAGGGAAAGCTCAGATGAGAAAACAAAGAGATGTTTACCGCTGAACGAAGCAAAGGCTGAGCGCTCTTGTCTCTTTTCTTCAGCTCAATGTTTTCCTGCACAGGGAAATAAAAAAATAACAATATCATATATTTTGCCTAAAAGTGTCATATCCTGGTTGTGCTATACTGAACAGTAAAACTGTATGAAATGCGTACAATCCCACTTCTATAAAAGTTGGGATTTGGGGTAAAATTTAAATAAAATTTAATGCSCTGATCTCATAAACCCCTATTTTGTTTTCAGTGGAAGATATTAAACATATCTACGACATGAATTTAAACTCAGAATTCTGAGATAAAATGTTGGAACTCTGAGGGGAAAAAAAAGCCCCTATTCTGACCTTAATCACAGAATTCTGAGATTAAAAGGCACAATTGTAACAAAAAAGAACTAAAAATATATAGTTTTTTGCTCTGAGGCCCCAATCCTCTTAAAAGTCAAAATGTTTAAGAATTTTTATTACAATTTTTACAAAAACATAATGCTAAATTTGATAACACATCCTCAAAATTGGGTCAAGTTCAACAAAAGGCTGTTAAAGTATAGGCTAAACTTTAATCTGAGTGTATCTGACAGAATACAGAAGCGTAGAGCTGTCACAGAACATTAAAATTATCACTGAGCTGTCTGTTATATATTAARAAGATATCTCATAAAAACAAGATTCTTCCTAAAATATTAGATTACAGTTTTGAACAATGTTAKTGAATTAAAAGCATCTGAATACAGACAGAGTGCAATCGGCTGTAGCGCTACATGATAAGATGCTGGACCAGGTCTGAGCACAAACCAAAAAAAACGGGCTGTGTTTTTTATTCATTTTCATGGCATAGATCGTTGTAAAACTGCCTAATAATAAATAATGTCCCGGCTCCATTTTCTCTGTGACAGTTTATTTCATCAAGGCAATCAAATGTCTGTTAAAGTGATATCACACCATAAAACATTAACACGTAACAAAACTATGTTTTTCAACTCATAATGGTTTGTTGTGCTGTAGCTCACATTGCTGTCTTTGTCAGAACACGTGACCCAGAATTGTATCCAATTTTAAAAGAGTGGGTGTTGTGTTCCACTCTTATATTCTCATGTTAAGGTGTCATGTTACACTTATTTTCTCTTCTTTATGGCTTGTGACACACACACAGTCCACTGATCTACTGATAACACCGGACAGAAAGAGGAGAGTCTGCAGGCACAGCCTTTGTCCTCCTCCACAAGAACTTTGGGAGTCTGCAGGTCAGGACTTGTCTGACATTCAGTCCTTTTTGTTTCATGGTTTCTGCTTAGAGAGTCCCCCGCCTCCCTCCTCTGTACGGAGTGGCACCCTGTTTTACTGCTTTGACAGCAGTCACAGAGCAGGTAGATAGGTTTGTGTTCTGACTGAGCAGCAGTGGATACTACAGTTGTACCTTCAACGTGGGTGTAACTCAGTTTCACTGAAACAAAAACAAGTCCCAGAAGCCTGCACTGTTTGTCACCAGAACTATCCTCTCCTCACAGATTAGTCAGGAAAATTACATGATAAGTTTTGGTCTTGAATAAAAAAAAAATTATTATTATGCTTCAGAAATACGTCAACACTTGTACACTTTTATTTGGAGTGATACCGTGTGGAATACACGGGGAGTCAGGAAAACAAAAATGTAATGTGGATTTAAAACAGTAACGCAAGAAAAGAGTCAGCAGGTGAACTGATGACCAGTCCAGCTCCAATAACCAAAACGTCATAACGGTTCAGGTGAATGCCATTACATTTGTCAATTTAACATCACAAAAGTATTTTCAACAGAAATACTGCTTTATGAAACTCCTGTTTTAACTTGCTACTCTAGATGTGTTACACCTTGCTGCCACTGCCATTTGTACCTCTAAACAAACCCACAGGATTCCAAGAAAATAAATGTTTACGTGGAAAATGTAGGTGGTGAAAAGAACTATGAAATCCAATTGAAATTCAGTTGCTCTTATGGTGACTGACATRTTTGGCATCCATATTTAATGTGTTTCCATGAACGGTCTTGGGTTTTATAGTAAGATATAAAAAAAATCTTAGTTTTTCTTAATAAAACATCCATGTTACTGTACTATTCACATTTCACTAACAAACTAAGCGTTTACTTATGTAAACTTAGTACAGTACTTAGTACAGTACCTAGTACAGTACTTAGTACAGTACC